GCTAGATAGGATGGTGAGCATGAGAAGAATTCTTTTATGACAATTATATAGGAATTTTGCTCAGTGAAAACATAGTCTGACTCTCATATTGAGACTTGGAACACCACTTTCTTGTCTCAAGTCAGATCATGGAAGTTAAACTTTAAAAAAATAATGTTTGAGTTTGGATCATATGGTCTGGATCTGAGGTAGGAATTATTTTTTTGCTGTTGAATTATCAAACAGGAAAACTGCCTCACTCCATGGAAGACACTGGATAGAGAAATTAGTTTATTTCTTATCTAGGCATCATCACATCACAGAACATCAGTATTGGCTGGAGCTGGAAGACACTGGATAGAGAAATTAGTTTATTTCTTATCCAGGCATCATCACATCAGTATTGGCTGGAGCTGGAGGATGGTCCAGATTATATTTTTCTGAAATATAATTAAAATCAGAAATTGTGCAAGTGAGTTTTTTGCTCATGCACAGGTAGCAAGATGAATCTAGCTGTCAGCTTCTGGGAAGCATTAGGAAATTCAGCCAGAGAAGCCTGTGCTGTTGTAGCTCCAGTGCCAATGCAATTTTTCCTGCATGCTGCTCAGAAGTTCCGTTTGTAATGAGAGTATTGTCAAAATGTACACTTGGTGAAAAAGCTGAACAGAAATAAACCCAGGGAAAATTTCCATGTGCATCCACCTGAGATATCTTTTTATTTTTAAAAAGTACCTTTCTCCCTCCTTTCTCCAGGGAAAAGTTCAATTTCAGCCTGAAAGGAGATCTTTCATTTTGTGGCATTTACAAGAAAAGCTGAAGGAATGAAGATGTGGATATCCAGAAGTGATCCTCTAATGTCCTCTTAACTAAGTCTGCTGGTTAGCTCTACCAGGCATAGTGCCTTTCCTTGAGAGGGCCTGAAGCAATGTTCCCTCTCTCTGCAGTCAGCTGGTATTTTGGAGAGGGAGGAAGGGCCATGCAGGGGTGGAAGTTGTTCTCCATCGTTCCAGTAAGCGCTATTCCATCCCCATGCAGCATTAGACAGCAGGTTTTATTCCCTGCATTTGAGCGTGTAACCAATAGGTAGGAGACTGAATTATTTCACCAGTTACCTCAACACTGATTTACCAGTGTTTAAAATTAAGCATATGGAAAGCCTCCTTAAATTAATGAGTCTTTTAATAGAGTGTAGGTATACTATTAATCATCTACTTAAGCAACCTGTAAGAGCAGAGACCCAAAGAACACATTAAGGTTTGCCTAAGGATAAAGGATGATTTATAGATGATTTGATTTGAAAAGCACATAGGACCTTATTAAAAAAAAAACCACCAAAGCAAAACAAAACCAAACAACCCAAACAGCTTTAAAGTATTTACTTGGGAAATAATTCTTTGATTATCACCTCTGGGCTTTACCTGATTCTGGATTATTTGCAAAGGTCCTTCTCTGCTTATCTGTCTGAGAGGGTTTTTATAAAAATTTCTGGACCCCAGTATTTAGATGTTTCAGAAATACTTTTCACATACAGCTGAAATGCAGAGTCATTACTGCGTACAATGTGTTTTTCAGAGAGTAATAATTAATTTCTGTGGCCAGATGTGAAACTTTGAAAAAAAAAAGAAGTAGTCATAATGGCTGTACTTGCAGGAACCCCCTTTCTCCCTTAGCTCTAATTGTGCAAATGGCACTGAGATAATACTGTAATTGTTTGTCTTTCCCGTGAAGCCAATATGAAGATTAAAGTACCATCTGGCTTTCTGAAAGCTAAAGTTAGAAAACCTTTAGCTTGTAAGAAACAAGCAGTTGGGTCCCTGTTGGGTGGACATTTTAAATGTAATTTAACTTTGCTTATGTCCATTTAAAATTCTAACCACAAATCAGCACTCAGAGCTTCTCCCTCTTCATAAAAGCAGGCATCCTAACAGAAAATTTTCTAAGTACCTTTTCCTGGAGGAGTCTGATAACTTTGGGTCTGTTCTTGTATTTATGCTCCAATAGAGTTTAAAGACAGAACCTGAAAAGTAAACCTGGCTGGAAAATTTCACAATAAGGGTTGGGTTTTTTCTTTGTGAAATAGCCATTTTTTTCAAAAACATTTTTGAAAATTTGCCGGCATTACTAAAACTATGCTTTTTGCACATTCACATCAATTTTGCTATGACATTTTGACAAATCTTTTTATTTAGTGTTACTTTTAGGATCTTAAATCATTTTCACAATCATTACAGAAAAAAATAATTTTAAGTCATGCTTCATCTGTGAAATCCATTTTTTCATGAAATATTTAGAAAGTAATTTCAATAAAAACTAACTAATTGTATTAAGAAATTTCACAGAAAAAGAAAATGAAGCTTTTTCAAGCTTTATTAAACAGAAACGATTTCAGGGGTTTTTTGCAAATTAAATTATTTTTTCTTGGATTTTTTTTGTTACCAGCTCATCTAAAAATTGCAGTTGATAATAAGCATAGAGTGATTATCAGTGAAGATCTCATCATAAAGAATGCACCAGGGCTGTTAGTGATGAAAATACTGTGTCTAGTTTTGTTCCAGGCAACATTACCACTATCAGAACCAGAAACCCACTCTCATTTGATTACTGTTGTATAAAATTTAGGCTATAAACAAACACACATGGGAACTGCCAATCCCCCCCTTCACTCTACTTTCCACCCACTCCCCAATGTCAAAGCTGTTAAAAAGGATCTCCAAGTCTTAGAGCAAAGTGTTTTTACTTTTTGATCTGGAGATCTTCCTTTTGTCTGGGATCCGTGCATTAAAAAAGTAAGCAAAATTGCAGGTGATAGGATAGAAAAGTAACAGAAGGCTCAAGAACCAAGTCTTTGCCTGACCAGTGAACTGTTTCAACTGATTAACGTCTGTAGCAATAAGAGATA